TCATTTTTTTGTGTGCGGGGGGAATTTTATTTTTATATTTGTGCGGGGGGTGTAACGTTGAGAAGTGTTTTATTGTGTTTTAAGCTGCCCATACACCTTACGACCATCGCACGACTATCGGTGTGCGATGGTTGTAAGGGCACTAAAATCTCGTACGATATGTTCATCTTGGACAGGCAGATCGTACTTGCGATCATCGCAAGCCCTCGATGAGGGGAGGGCTTCTGATGATTGCAGTGGTGAGCGGGCAGTGTGCGGCATTCATCTTCCGACTACGCCACCAACCCGCCAAAAATCGTACTATTTTCGCAGGTTTTCCAGCGTGCTTGGAAGACAAAAATCAGTAGAAGCGGTCGCACGCTGCCCATACACCTGCCGATTATCGTACGACGGCGGAATCAGCCACAATTATCGTACGATAATCGGCAGGTGTATGGACACCTTTAGTGTATGTGTATATTAGGCCCCATCCACACCTACAGTATATTTCTGGTGTGATTAGAGATTCCGGTGTCAGAAACTTGTTTTCCTGCGGCATTAATCCCTAATCTGCCGTTTACAAGCGGCAACTATCATAAGATAAGAATCATAAGATTATTAGAGGGTGTGTTTAGGGGCGGAGTTAAGGCCGGGGCAGGGTAGGGGTTAGGTGGGGCAACTGGTGGCTGGTAACTCTTAAGGCCTGGATGGTAGCTCAGGACTTGACATTTTTAGCCCTGCAATAGACAATAGCAGGCTGGGTATTGCACCTGTCCCCTGCCTGCTTGCTACAGATTGACAGCAGGCTGTGGGCAGGTGCAATAGCCAGCCTGCTATTGGCCATTTCAATTTGCAATAGCAGGCTGGCTATTGCAAAATCCCAATTGCGCAGCGGGGGAATGCAGTCACTGCCGTTCTCTCTTCCCCGCAGGGCAACGGCTGCAGTGTTCTGTAACCCCGGCGATTCATGCTGCCTCTGCTGATAAAGGCAGGGAGAACAGCAGGGATCGAAGGGGACACAGACCGCAGCGGGCTCCCAGGAGGGGAGAAGAACAGGAGGAGCAGAGCTGATGCGGCGGTCAGTGAAGGGGCTGACAAAGGCCGAGGAGCCAGGATTTGTCGCGCCCTGATTTATATTGTAGGTATAGAGGAGATTCTGGAGTTGCCATATTTAAATAGCCTCAGGCTGCACAGAAAGAAAATTTTAGAATCCTCATTACCTCACAGCCACAGTCAGTCGGCCTTTAAAATGTCAGATATACAGAATTTTTGTGCGGCCAGGGCCGCAAACACAAGAGATGACTTTAAAAAAGCACAGAGCTTTGAGAAGCCATATACAAAAGGAGGTAGTGCAGCTCTTCACTCCAGAGCAAAACATGATTCAACCACATGCAAAACCCAACTGGATGACATTTAGATTATTAAAGCTCTTTGTATAATAAACAACTGTATCCAACTTCCTGTCTATAGGCACAGCAGCTAAATATCATGACTAAAACGGGCGGGCTTCCTTGTGGTGACAAGTCTGGGTTGAGAATGCATAACAATTGGGAGACAGGGAAAGAAGATAGCCACGTTCTGTGTACACACTGGTGTATGTTGTGTAGGGGTGGTACGATGCAAGTGCATCACACTGTTAACTTTCTCTTTTAAGTTCACTTAAATTACAAACATTGTGTCGTTCTACATGAACTTAAGTGATATGCATTGTGCTGCATTTTTAAGCCATGCACCCCAGAGCACATGTATGGTGTGAACAGGGAACATAGAGAACAATTGATTTCTATGTGCCCTCCTGTGGAGCTGCGTAGATCAAGGCAGCTCAACGTACCTGGTGTGAACCAGCTTTAAGAATGCCTGATTAGCAGAACGCTCGAAAGTTTATAAACACTCCAGGCTAGCCCCATGCGGTTACTTCTGCTCAGATCTGGAAAGAAGGGGACAATATCTTTCCCTTTAGAGCCAGGCAATGACTTTTGTATGAGTAAGCATACAATGACAAACGCTCAGCTCTCATCTCTGGCACTACAACTGACTGGTCCTTAGTGCCAAACTAAAAGGGGTCAGCCAGTGTGAACCATAGGAAGAGATTCATACAAGAGTTTTCCATTAGGTATACATGTAGAATTATAAGATTATAAATATTCAGTGTCTTTTACTGGCCTACTCATACAAAATTAATGAGGCATATGCTTGAATCTTTCATTTGATTTTTGTTTAAATGCAGTGCAAGGAAATGTAATCAGTTGAATAAAAAATTATGATTTTTAGGAGGTATGTGTGATCACGCGAATGATATCCCTGTCCAAAACCTTTTTTCTTAAACCAATGCTGATTAAATTGTCCCAAGTATTTACAGGAGACTTCAGAGCGTAACAAAATGACATAACTGCATGTTGTCAGCCTCATGCAGAGTAAAACAGTCCACTAAAAAGGCCACCATGGCTATCTGTATTATCCCATTTTAATTAGAATTGGAATCTGCCTAGGAGAGTTCAATTCATCTTAAAGTCTAAATTGAATCCACCTAATTACCATCATTGTCATTCCATGGTTTGTAGCGCTTGTTTTAAGGATATATAAAAATACTCAAGTAACTGGTTTTTGTTTGTACAAATATCTACATACAATTTATGGACACGGTGAGACTTTCAGAAATACACTGTCTAGAGTCCTTTCCACAACTATTAGGAAAAGACTTACAGTACTATTGAACACTTAAACTTTTTTCAATAATAAATCCAGAACAAATATACATTGTGAAGCACAGTGCAGTAAACTCCCAGTTATCCGACACTCACAGGGATGGGTAGGTGCCGCATAACTCTGGTTTCTGGTTGCTTGAGAGTTAGTATTAAGTTCTCTCTCAGATCTGCTCCTCTGCTTAGTGGGCAGGGTTTCAATAGCCAGCCTGCTATTGCAATTTGAAATAGCCAATAGCAGGCTGGCTATTGAAATCCTGCCTACTGAGCAAAGGAGCAGATCTGAGAAATTTCTCTCAGGTCCTCTCCTCTGCTCAGTGGGCAGGTACAACAGCCAGCCTGCTATTGCAATTTGAAACAGCCAATAGCAGGCTGGCTATTGAAATCCTGCCTACTGAGCAAAGGAGCAGATCTGAGAAATTTCTCTCAGGTCCTCTCCTCTGCTCAGTGGGCAGGTACAACAGCCAGCCTGCTATTGCAATTTGAAACAGCCAATAGCAGGCTGGCTATTGAAATCCTGCCTACTGAGCAAAGGAGCAGATCTGAGAAATTTCTCTCAGGTCCTCTCCTCTGCTCAGTGGGCAGGTACAACAGCCAGCCTGCTATTGCAATTTGAAACAGCCAATAGCAGGCTGGCTATTGAAATCCTGCCTACTGAGCAAAGGAGCAGATCTGAGAAATTTCTCTCAGGTCCTCTCCTCTGCTCAGTGGGCAGGTACAACAGCCAGCCTGCTATTGCAATTTGAAACAGCCAATAGCAGGCTGGCTATTGAAATCCTGCCTACTGAGCAAAGGAGCAGATCTGAGAAATTTCTCTCAGGTCCTCTCCTCTGCTCAGTGGGCAGGTACAACAGCCAGCCTGCTATTGCAATTTGAAACAGCCAATAGCAGGCTGGCTATTGAAATCCTGCCTACTGAGCAAAGGAGCAGATCTGAGAAATTTCTCTCAGGTCCTCTCCTCTGCTCAGTGGGCAGGTACAACAGCCAGCCTGCTATTGCAATTTGAAACAGCCAATAGCAGGCTGGCTATTGAAATCCTGCCTACTGAGCAAAGGAGCAGATCTGAGAAATTTCTCTCAGGTCCTCTCCTCTGCTCAGTGGGCAGGTACAACAGCCAGCCTGCTATTGCAATTTGAAACAGCCAATAGCAGGCTGGCTATTGAAATCCTGCCTACTGAGCAAAGGAGCAGATCTGAGAAATTTCTCTCAGGTCCTCTCCTCTGCTCAGTGGGCAGGTACAACAGCCAGCCTGCTATTGCAATTTGAAACAGCCAATAGCAGGCTGGCTATTGAAATCCTGCCTACTGAGCAAAGGAGCAGATCTGAGAAATTTCTCTCAGGTCCTCTCCTCTGCTCAGTGGGCAGGTACAACAGCCAGCCTGCTATTGCAATTTGAAACAGCCAATAGCAGGCTGGCTATTGAAATCCTGCCTACTGAGCAGAGGAGCAGATCTGAGGGAGAAAGTTCTCTCAGGTCCTCTCCTCTGCTCAGTAGACAGGTACAACAGCCAGCCTGCTATTCATATTTGAAATAGCCGACAGCAGGCTGGCTGTTGCTCCCCATTGTTTACATTTTCCTGATGACCATGGAATCTAGCCGCCGACTGGCAGGAAGATGAGAAAGAATTTTGTTAGCAACTTAATTTAGTTGGTAACAAAAATCTTTTACTTTCAAGCCGACAGAAAAAAAAAAATATATACATTTTTGTTTTTTGCCAGTTGCTTGAGTGTGTTGGTTGCTTGAATGCTGGATAATGGGGAGTTTACTGTATTTCTTTACATTTTTGCCCAAGCACTTACAGTTATGTTTCCAAACAGCTGGCTCCAACTCATTCACCTTGACTTCCCAGAACTTCCTGTTAAGTACAAGGTCTTCCAGCAGCTGTCCATCTACTAGCTTGGAGAAGGGAGGAGTAGGGAGTGTCTCACCTTTGCTGTGACTGTGTGTTGATGGAGACACACACAGCTTACTAGCACATATAGGAACACATATAGGAACCACCCTAAAACAGGAGAGCATGGCCAGAGCTCAGAGGACCAGCTGATTCTGCAGGGAACTAAAACTTTTAATCAAGGAGTAGCATCCATTGGAAGTGATTTAATCAGCTTAAAAACCTCTTGACGTTAATATCAGTTTAAGTTGGCCATACACAACTAAAATTTAGCATTAACATTTGTGATACGTTTGTTCGATTTTCTAATCGTTAGTGGCGTCTCCGACGCTTGGTTTTGACCACTGTGACTAGGAAAATCAAAAGGTGCAGGAAGGAAAACTGCTCGTTCCTTATCTGAATGAACGAAATTATAGCTGTGAATGGGATTTTCGGTCGGGAAAAATTGTACATATTGGAATGGTCACGTGCTAGCTACAAAAGAAAATGGCTTAATACGTCTGGATGACATTGTAAGTACTTTAGGACAATATTAGTTGACTCAGCGATGGCAAGATTAATTGTTCTGTTGGAGTGTATGGCCAGCTTTTAAAACACAAGCAAGTAAACATTTTGTGTAAAAAACAAGGGTAGAAAAAACAAAACGAAGCATCTTTCAAAACTAGCTTCTAGTCTAAAACCAAATAAATTCCCAGTGACATTGGCGATAAGCACAATTGGAGAGAATAAATCCACCTTATAGACAACAAAGACAACAATGAAAACCTGATAGGGGTTCTAATGCGTTAAATCTGGAAAAAAAAGTTTAAACTTCAGGTACACCTTAAATTTAATGTACAGCCAGTATAAGTTCCTGACTTTTTCTCTACTGTATTTACATTTGATTTCCGGAATTCCATGGACAGCAGTACGGAAGTACGGAAGCAACCAATCCAGACTCTAGTGCTTGGAACATTGCTACCAGTCAAGTACTGTGTACGTGCCCCAGAAGGGGTAAGCACAGGGATGACTTCATCAATGTGAAGCTGCTCCTTCACTGTCCAATCTGCAGGCTGGGCTGGGTCCTTGAACGAGTTGTACAGCTTAGCTGCACCAGAGGTCAAGGACCTGCTATGCTGGCTGACAGTCGTGTCTAGAACAGATAACTGGCTGAAACAAAATAAGAATTTTGGCAGGTACCACAGTTCACATATTTGTATCCAAGCTGTGCGTCTGGGAGATGGACTTTACAATATGACAAACCTGTAAATCCATGGTATAGCATCAGTTTGGACAGCCATCAAAATAGGAGGATCCTTCTTGGGTTCTCTGTATACATTTTTAACCGTGTGTCTTTACAAAATCTAGTATTTATTAAATTAGAATAAGCTTTGACAGCTGTAAACAGACTAAAAAAAAAAAAAAAAAAAGAATGTTCATTAGGGAACATATCAATGCTGGGATTTCCTTGGCTCACAAAGCTAAAGTCTACATTGCTCTGAAAAGTTGGGAAGACGTGAGGTGCAACAGTGCCAAATAACCTGGAACCTTCAGGCTTAGGGCTTGTTCACACCAACAATAGTGCGCTCTGGCCCCATTTGGTGCCGAAACGCACTGGATCGCATCCTGGCCGGCTCCCTGCTTTCAGGGGCTGCTGGAGGGCGTGGCTGTGGTGCCATTGCACCACCACATCCCCTCTCGTCCCTTAACATAGGGAGCCGGCCCGTATGCGATCTAGTGCATTCTGGCACCAAATAGGGCAGGAACGCACTGTTTGTGGTGTGAAATAGCTACTTTGTGACAAGAAAATTCCCCACTTTATGTTAATCTTTAGAAGAGTTATCACAAAATGTTGCATGTACTAATTCTTATGCATATTGATACAGATACACAAATACAAAAACACACCTGTGTATTTTTCCTTCATATGAATCAAACTCTACAGTAAATTCTTGATTTGTAAAGACCCATGCTCACTATTAAAAGTCATGAAGTTAAGGGAATTAAATTTCTTACTTTGATAAGGTGTGGCTTCAATGATTCCTTCTTTATCGCCATCAAAGCCATGTGAAGTCATTCGAGTTTCGGAAAGACCAAGTCCTGCTGGCACTGATCGTTTTAGGTCCTTAAAAAAAATAAAAAATAAAATAAACCATAGGTTAATATTCGGGCAGAATATGGAATATTCATATATTAGAATTACCGTATTTTGTGCTCCATAAGGCGCACCGGACCATAGGACACAGGCAGGTTCTGTTACAGAAGCTGCAGTTAGTGACCCAGGAGGCAGGTGGTGCTGTGACTACAGCGCCACTGTCTCAGTGTTCACACAGAGCAGACCAAGAACTAACGTTCTTCGTCTGCTCTAGGGGCTTTATGTTGAGCTCCTATCCTGTGGTCACGGGTTCCCCAGAGGAGCGGGGGACTCGAAAACCACGGCGAGGGGGTTATCGATAGTCGCCGCTCGGTTTTCTGAATAGATCACTTGTATTAAACGAGCAGCGGCTCCCACTGTACATTTAGCAGAGCTAAATGTACAGAAAACTACTCACCCGGCGCCCGAAGCTGCATGTTCCAGGCGTTGGGCAATAGGGTTTCGCACACACATTTCCCCCCGACTTTTTTTTGGGGGGGGGGGGGGGAGTGTGTCTTATGGAGCGAAAAATACGGTATGTTAATACAATTTTGGCAAAATTAGGAGTTTTTAGTTGTAATTTTAGAAAGGTGATCACCAAAACGGGCACATAGTCACCTGGCTGCTATGCCAACATACTGTATGTGACAATTATCACAAGAAATCACATAAATTACATAGTATTGCAATTAACTATCAATGGTATAAGATCAACCTGTACTATAAATGGATAGTATGGGCGTTGTCCAAGTCTGAAATAGAACATCTCAAGATGCAACACCTAAAACAAATCCATAGTATGTAACCATGTAAATGTCTTATTTTTTCGTGTTAAATAAACTCTTCCAGACATCAAGATTTTTCTTAAAGAGATATCACTATGTAGTAGGGGTATCTGCGTATTATCCACCTGCTCTCTTGCACTGCTATCCTACTGTAACCTCCATTAAAAAATTGAGCTTTTTCAAAGCTATCTAATGAGGAGCAGTTACTTTGGGCATTAATGAATTGTCCCTTTGAAACTGCTCTAATGACGAGGTCCAGCATGAAGCAAAGTATGTTTGGTGATTGGTTTCCAATACCGAAAAATAATTTCAGGATGAACATAAAAGCCAATTAGTTACATACAAATAATTGAGGTGCGTCTTGTTCTTTAAAAGGAAATTCAAAATTATAATCATTAGTATTCAAATAATGAACAAAATCCACTACATGGATAGGATGATCAACAATGAATATAAGATTGTCTAGGCATCTAGAAAAAATAAAAATAAAATATTGGGGTCAAAGGGGTTAGTATTCGCATAAATGTGGCACTCCTCCCACCAACTTATATTAGGTAAGTGTATGTGTATCTGTAAAAAAATAAGTCAAGGCAACTGGACTTGCTGTATTTTTCTTGAAGACGTTTCACTGGTCATCCAACCAGCTTTCTCAATTCAGAATGACTTGTATAAAAATTCTCTGGGAATAAATATGGCGAAGGTTGTTCCAATCCACATAATCGGTTAGTCACAACCATGTGTTGATGGTATTTGCATAATTAGAGCTAGGAGGTGTTAAAACAGCATTGTATGTGGCAGACAATAGATGTCTCACCCCCCCCCCCCCTCTATTCAAGCTTGGCTTCTCCATTTTTATATAAAATGGCCTCTCTCACACCTCTTTTAAACCAGTTCTCCTCCCTGTCTAGGATGCGTACTTGACCATCTACAAAGGAGTGACCTTTTTCCTTTAGCTGTAGGTATACTGCTGAATCCTGACCAAAGGGTTAGCTCTTCTATGCTATGCCATACGCTGGCGTAGCTGCTGTTTTGTTTCACCGACATACAATTCTGAGCACTCCTCAATGAACTGAACTGCATACACAATGTTGTTCATCTTGTGTTTTGGCATTGGGTTTTTTGGATGAACCAGTTGTTGCCTCAGCTGGGTTAAAAGACAGGGATGTGATGTTTTTTTTTGTGTGTGTATGTTTTTAGGTGTATGTGGTAGCAAATCTGGCCTCCACAGAAGCGCCACACCTCTGGAGAGAGCAACCCCAAGAAAAAGTATTTTTGAGTTCACAAAAAAAAAATGTACTTGCCCCTACTATAAAATGTTTAAATCTGTTAACAATAACACTTCAACCAGTGTTTGGTATCTCTTACATAAAAGAGACAAGCTTAATTCCAAGGACTAAAGCAGCCCATCAGTTAAGTCTCTTAGGGGTTCACAAAAGGGATCCAAAGCTGGCAACAACAGGTCTACCCCCCGAGAGAGGTCCCCTTGTGAATCTTATAAATAGCAATTTTTCAGCTAGATTCTGATCTAAGAGCATCACTGATGCTGCAAAATTGGTGGTAATTTTCAATTTGCCAAAGTATTTATTAGTAAGTTGTCCGATAGCCTCTTTATGATACTCTACGGAGATTCAGACTACCACTGATACTCCTTTGTCTGACATTGAGATAGCGATGTATGAATTATCTTTGTAGTTCGTATTGCTTCCTTATTTTGTTTCAACATATTATCCAAAATTGATCTGGGAGATTTCTTTTATTATTTAGACTAAGAAAAGTAAAATGATTACACTTGTGTCGTATGTATACAACCAGCTGCAGACATCTCCCTCTCCTGGCCACGCCTAAGTAGTACATCCCTATTAAGCTCTATGGAGCTTGTCTCTTGGCTGGGAGCAGTAGGATGGGTGCCAAAAAAGTCAATGGTGACGTACTGCACAGGTGCAGCTATCAGAGACCTCCGTCGTAGTATGTAAACAATGGCGGCCAGACCCATAAGAGCTCGGCAACTATGCATTTGTGCAGGGGTAGGGAGGGGTCGGTGACAACTTAAGGGGGACCAAAGGACAAATGCACTTATCCTTTAAGTTTGTCTAGCTCTGCCTGTATTTTTGTATCTTAATACAGGATTCTTCCAAATAAGGATTTTTTTTTTTTTTTTAGGGTAATGATTGCCTTCATTAATCTAAACAATGCATCACTCAGGAGTGTTGCCAATTCTTTCAGCTCTTTAAGCTTAAAAACAAATGGCTGAAGACTGTTATGCTATTTAATGTGTATAGTCAGTATATGCTTTGTATTGTAAATAGACAGTGAATGCAGGGATTTGTAATGCATAAAAATACAAAACACTTAATTTTACAAACAAGTCAACTGAACCGGTTTATTGAAAAAAATAATTACACCTATGACTTTATTTATGAGATTAGAGATAATGGATATTCAGCATTCTTCCATCCGGTTCTTTCTGCAACACCTCAGGTGTGGTAGAACAATAGAATGTCAATAGCTGCATTTAGGAAAGCCAACATCCAAATCAAGAACTTGGGAAAAAAAGATAACACAACTTGCCATACAAGGTGGTTCACAATGCAAACGAATTAATAATGTAACCAGTGTAAACTGTATTCTATTATAAGAATGTATATATTGTAGTGATCCACCTGACCACCCCCCCCCCCACCAAAAACTTACCACCCCCCACCCCCCCTTTCACCTCTTTTTTCATTGCATCCTACCTTAGCGATTTTGGGATGCATTGCAGCCCACCTCGATAGCGGGACCTCCCTTGAACTTGCTAACGGGAAGCCTCTTCTTTCCCCAACAGGAAGCTAGACACTAAACACTCCGCATTTGCCTATCTCGTTTGCCATCCCAACAGCTATCCCCCCGAAAGCAATCAAGGGACCCAATGTCTGGCCCATTTGATGTACCTTCTTAGAGCTTTTTGATTAGCACTCAATACTTTATCAGAAATTTAGCAATGACTCTGTACTGCTACGCTCTATGGAATATATGTGAACCTGTACAAAGTATGGTTTTATATGACTGTCACTCTTATGCTTTTCAATAAAAATCCAGATGATAAAAAAAAGAATGTATATATTGTTAACATAGGAACAAGAATACAGAGTAAGCAAAATACACACAAACACACACACACACCTGAATGCAAAAAGCAGGAGTAGTATTGTACAGTATAATTGCATGAAAATGATGGGATATACATACTACATATACACTCAGTGGCCAGATTATTATGACCACCTGACGTTTGTAGGCAAATCAGCTATAACGTCAGATTCCTCACATCACCTTTCAACGTCTCGTGGAGTTAATGCCAAGAAGAATTGCCGCAGTATTGAAAGCAAAAGGTGGCCCAACGAAGTACTGATGGGTTGGACATAATAATCTGGCCACTCAGTGTGTGCGTGTTTGTGTGTGTGTATATATACACACACACACACACCTTGTGTGACTTACAAAATGTAATCCATGACATGTCCACTACATGTATTATTGATTCAGGTGGCTATAAAGCCATCAACCCACAACTACAAACATTAACACTGTTGTCTTAACTGGAGCGTAGCTCCAGTCCAAAGTGGAATACACCTAATGAGATTTAAACAGATTTTTTTTTTTTAATATATATTTGCAAAAGTTTTATTTGTAAATCTGCAGCTCTCATTGTAAATGTACGGCGATTCTGGGTAAAATGTAATTCTGGGCACAGTGTAATGATGCGTTGTCCGGCTTCCTGATTGGCCAGCTTCTTGACCAATCAGGGAGCCAGTCAACGCGTCATTACATGCCGCCTGGCTTACTTAATGGAACTTTCTGTATCAGTATTGGCGAGTACCAAAAAATATCGGTACTCTTACTCGATACCGAAAAACCGGTACCAGTGCATCCCTAGTGAAAAGATCAGCTGCAGGCAGTCTACATGTAATAACAGTGACTAGTCCTTTGCCCTCTACTTGCTTTATTTTTTATTAAGAGCACAGCTTCCACAATTCAGATCCTTTTTAAATGTCACAACGACTTTTTCCCAGTGTTGTCAGGACATCTTGCATGCAGAGAACTTTGTAGACCTACAATTAGCAATAAAATACAGACGACTAATGGAGTTCCTTCTATAAATACTCCAGACAGCAAAGGCAATTAGTGTTTCTAGCAGTTTTCTCTTTGCCAGGTCACAAGTAGGGA